GTGGTGCCGGGTTGCCGGGCAGATTCAAGGCAGAGAAAGTGGAGTTTCACTGGGGTCAAAGCAACGGATCAGCTGGCTCTGAGCACAGCATCAATGGCAAGAGGTTCCCCGTTGAGGTGAGTGGAAAGACATGCGCTTATGTTCTTGAAAAAAATAAAATCGGAATGTATTGCTGTAGTTTGAGACGACTGTGAAATAGGGCAATGTTTCCTTCAGCGAACATATCACTTTCAAGGCCCTTCCGGCGCTCGCAGCACTCTATCTATCATCTCTTATGTGCTTTTGCACTGTCAGCTCTGGGCTGTGCTTTGCTAGCCTCGCCAGCGCTCTCATCCCATGGGTTCGGTTGCAAACAGCCACTTTTCTGGTTTCTCCCATAAGCTGTTCATGTGTGGGAGGATCTCCTTGCAAATATCCACAAAGTGACCTCATTGTCCTCCAAATCTTTTCTTTCCCATGACGCTTACAAACAAACAGCAGTGGTTTGGGAGCCACTGTGCCAACAGCGTTGTCTTTCATCAGTATTGCTTCTTTGCACACGTACAGCCCACTCCCTACCTGCGTTCAGCTGCGGTCCCTTGCCTTGTACCAGCAGGATGGCTACGTAGCTCTGGGCAAACAGCTCTGTGTTTGCTCTGCCGGCGCAGGAGCCAGCTGGACCCGATCCGGCCCTGTCTGCTGGCCGCCCGGCTATGGGAGCAGAGCGCGGTGCCGCAGCGGGAGCAAGGTACCGGTTCGGGCACAGCACCCTGCAAACGTGGCCGTGTTCAGAGCACGGGGCTGGGTGACCATCTGCAGCTGACCACAAGGACGTGCCTTTAGATGGCAGGGAGAGTCTGGGCACCGTGGGGCTGCTGTGGAGCCTGGCACGGTTGGGTCTTGGCTTGTGACCAGTTGTCCTGGGTTGCTCTGTCAGCAGTGTAATGTTTTCTGTGTCAACAGAGTGCGTTGATACTTTTCACTTTATATTCGAGGTTTTGCATGGTGAGATAAAACTGATGTTATCTGGGATTACCTTTGCCTGTCGGTAAGCAGATAAGCACTTTGAGAGCATGGCCCGTGGACATGAGCAGGTTGCAGGAAGCTGTGCTTGCCCAGAAAGCTGATGGGTGGGTAGGCAGAAATGGTCGTCTTGTGAGCTGGGTCTCGCAAGAACTTGATTCAGCCCCCAGCTTGCCATATTCCTCATGTGCCGCTTTAGCCAAGTTATTTTTTCGGGATGTGGGAAGGGGCTTCCAAAGCACAAAGTGAGGTTGTTATATACTCTGGTACATGACCAAAACCTCTGATTCTTACCTCCCTGCTCCAACTGCCCCATCACATGAGAATTAGAAGCCATTTTTTGTCTCCCTGTGCTGAACCTGTACATTGGATGTTCTGTGAGGCAAAGATTTTTTTATTTTCTTACTTTTTAACGAGCTTTTGCAACAGCTTTCTGGCTTGATGTAGCTGTGATTTCTTACAAGGAGCCACCCCTATACACATGGAGCAAAGGCCCAAACATTTTCATGCTGCCCTGTCTCAGTTGGCAATACTGACATTTGTAACCCTCTATTTGGGTGGCAGAAGGAGCACTCAGGAAGTCTACAGAGGCAGTCAACTCCTCTTTTGAAACTTCTGGGAGCGGAGATGGTAAAGGAGCCTGGGCTTTCTTGTTTGTGTCAAAAATAGTATTTCCACTTCAGAAACCCGTTCTTATGATGCCAAGGCTATTTGGTGCTGGCTTGATGAATGGAAGCTATTTTACTTTGGAAAAAAGCAAATTCCTAAGAAATAACTTTCGGTTGGTTTAAATATTCTTCATTTCATTTTCAATTGGGTGGAATACTAATTTTTAGTACTTTAAAGTTGGAAAAAGAAAAAGACGAGACTGCCTTTCTGAATTTAGGTCACTTGTATGCTGTGCAAAATAAACTGCTGTATCAGATAGGTTTAGTGTTAATACTGAAAATGTAATTTTCCAAGTGATTTGTATTCATTGCAATGACATGAACCTCTGTTCTCTGACCTTCCTGGGTATGATGGCATTAGCAGAATTCCCACAGTCTTTCCTTTACTATTTTTTAAAGGAAGAACAGTTTCCAAACCAAGCCTTTCCCCGTTGTGATGCTATCTACCTCCTGCCCAAAAATTCCAAATTTCAATCGTGCACTGGAGAGGATTTTCATGGGTGGATTTTGAAGGGTCCAGTAGGTCTAAGGTGATGAAACTTCTTGCCAATACAAGAAAAAATAGTCCTCATAGTTGGGATTCGAGCTCTTAAACAGTAACTGTACATGTATGTGTAGTGGAGCTTTTAATTTGTGATGCTAATTGTAGTTCAGCTTGCAACTGTCTGATGCAACCCTAATTGCCTGATGCTGGGAGGTCTGTGCCAGAAATACTGTACTTCATTTGAGAAATAGCATTTCTAGCAAAGCTGTAGAAAGGCAAAAACATGATCCTATCCTACAGAAAGCAAAGCCCAAATAATTCTGATTATTCTGAGCCTGTGGATGTAGGTGAAGCTTTTATGGAGCACACAGGCATTCCAGGTCTGCAGCAGTTACGGTGACGATGCAGCTAAAAGGAAACATTTTCTGAGTCTAATTGTGCAACCAGATGTGGACTATGCAAAACCCGTTAGTTCCAAAGCACATCCCAAGGGAATTGCAGATAGAGCAGCTTCATCCATAGACTGTGCTCTGTGCGCATGAAGTTTAGATATTTTCCTCTGGGAAACAAAGTGCTCGCTGGTAGTCTTTTTTCTTGAAGAGGATGCAGAAACTAATTAGAAATGTCAGATATAATACAGAGCATTATTGTTTGACCATGTTGTTTGGTTTTTATTATTACAACTAATGTGTCAGATGGTAAGGCTGTCTACGTTAATTGGTTTCCTTCATTGAAGCCCATCTGGATCATATTTTTTTGTGATGTATATGTTAAATTAGTTGGTAAGATATATGAGAACATCCTTTTGTTTCCTGCTTTAAAGGCATGTTGGATCAAAGGCATATTATCTTGCAGTACTTTTATGCATATGTAGCATATTGTGATTCCTTTTCAAACCATGGCATATGTAATGGTATTCTTTCATTATGTGGTCTTGATTACTTATTTATTGGTTAGATTTTCTTTGGTGATACTTGAGCCTTACGAAGCCATTATGAGCTTGGCTGTCTCTGAGGTAGCATTAAGTAGCATTTATGAATGGAGATGTCCACATGCCTCAAACTTTCATCCACAGCCAGGTTCCAGTTCATGATACCAGGCTCGATCAGCATTGGCTTGAAGGTTCTTTTTTCCCCTCCCTCTTGCCAGTTTAGCACAATCATCTTGGGTGAGGTCAGGAACTAGTGCTGTGATGCCGAAGATTAAAGCGGTACCATTAGCGTATTGCTGTGTGAGTGGAGTGCGAATCCTAATGAGGATGTGGGCTCTGCGCCAGCTTAGAAAAAGTCTCTCTCCTTTTTTCTTCAAGTTAAGAAAAGTTTTTAACATCACTTTCTCTAAATTTTAATGAATTGCTGACTCCTTTGTATTTTGTTATTGTTCTTCTCTGCTATAATTACTCAGGTTTTTCTTTCTCTTTCTGAAGTCGAAGCAGTATAAATGAACATGCAAAAGCTAGAAACCATTTAAATGGCGAAGTGACAAAATTAAAATAAAGAAGATGAGCTTCCCTCAGGCCAGGAGAGAACCCAGGTTCCCCTCATTAGAGCCAAGAGGAGTAATTGCAGTGCTTTAATCTCCAGTGTCACCGCACCGGTTACCAGCCCTGCCTGCGCAGAGCTGGCGGCAGGCAGGGCACGCCGTGCGGGCTCCCTGCTAGGAGGGAAACCCGGAGCTTAATATTTCATAGGCAAGCGAAGAGCTGACGTGGCAGTGCTGTGCTGGCGGAGTTCGGTACCACTGTCCCAGTGTAACTGTGATTTTTATTTTTTTTTTTTTTGAGCTGCTTCATACTCATTTTTATGCAAAATGCTGATTATTTCTGTGAAGAGCAGAAATCAGAAGAGTGATTTTAATCATGACTGTGTTAATTTGATGTGAGCTTTGGCTGTTTATGAGCTTTCTCTTTAATGGCGCTAATTGTCAGTTATAATGTGAACACCATTATACAGTAATATACAGTAATTTATTTAGTAAATGAGAATCTTATTCCAAGGACCATACTGCAATATGCCATAGAGACCTCATCCCTTTAATCTTACATGAACAAACTTGCACTGTCTAGGCCAAATTGGTAACAGGAACATCAACTTGTCTTCTGAAATAGCAATGTGATTTCGTACCCACAAGTGCCAACATGCATGTTTTTGGAGATCTCGAGTTCTCCTCCATTAAAAAAAAAAGGGGGGGGGAGAACCACCACCCAACAAAATGCCACAAACCATCCTGGCAGAAAATTAAGAGCTAACACCCTTTCATGTCGATTAACGAGCTTTTACGTTATGATGATAGATTCATTTCACTAAATTATTATTACAAAACAATCATTTGCAGTAACAATTCTTGTGCTTCTTTAAGCATGTTTCTTAGAAGACTTTCCAGGTTCTAATGGTGTCTTTGTTCTTGCTACTTCTTTGATTTTCTTCCTTTTCCCTTTGAATATACATCCTAACTTCGGCGTGGTCTAGATCTACAGCTAGTTGCTCTAATTTGAATGCTCAGATCTCCTTGCCAAAGTTCAGCACTGTGTGCTATCCTACCTCTCATTATATCACTTAAATTCTGATGTTTTATATTATCACAGGCAGAAGACAATCAATGTCGTTAATGTAGAAGAGATGTGCAGTATGGATTACACAAAAACCTTTACTATAGGGAATAAAGTGAGACAAAGTAACGTTTTCTTGCTTTTACCCAGAATGTCAAGTCTTGCTATCACTTCTGGAGTCATCTGCAGTAGATGCCCAGCCTTTTGTCCACCCGTGGACGGCAGGGGATATTTGCTTTTTAATGTTAGAATCGGGGCCTTTTCTGTTACTTAGTTTTACTCTTGGTGCATTTGTAAGTCTGTTTAGATTTTTGTGTGCTTTTTTGACATGTTAAAAAGGTGAACGTATGGCAGTACGTCTTCCTGATATACAGGAGAGAGCTAACACCCGATGTTGCTGTGTTGCAGCTGGGT